CTTCCCCTTGCCCGGCCAATCAGCAGTGCTGACAGTGGTGGCCTGCACTTCCATGTACTCTGGGAGAGAACAGAGCCCACCAACTTCTGACAGTAAGGGGGAGGGCAGGGGGAAAGAGGCAGAGACTGGGGAGCAGGTGGGAAGGAGCAAGGATTGTGGTGAGTGGGAGGGACAGAGGCTGTGGGGACCTGGGGGTGGGAGGGGGGTGGGAAGAGGGCAAGGGGGCCACCTGACCCCCTTACCCCTCCCAGCCACTGTTTTCCATGCTATAGCAGTGGGGAGGGGAGTGGACGAGACAAATTTAAGACAACTTTCTAATAATTAGGTTCTATACCTGGAAAATGATAACCAACGTATACGTTTTCCATATAAAAGATTCTAATTATGGGAGGGTCATCTTAAATTCAGGGTGGACTTAGATTTTAGTAAATATGGTAGCTCACAAGCACCTTTGGGGAAAAAAGGGCATTTTACCATTTGCTTAATTGAGTAAAATACAAAAAAGTAGGGCAATAAGAGGAAAGAAGAAAAAGAAGTCACACTGATCAATTAGTTTTACCTTCCAGTTCTCATACACTGGCATAGGGATGCATTGTTTGTCTTGGAATCCAATCAAAAATGGATCCCACTGGTTAATGAAAACCTAAATTTGGGGTCAAGGTATCTGACTGTGTCCCTTTAAAGGTATAGTATCCTTCCAAGAAACTAACCTGCTCACACAAAGAACAGACCAAACAGCCAAGCTCAACATTCAGTACACTTTATTGGACAGTCAAAAATAGCATTCATTCAAAACAGCCAGATTCTTGATAATCTCAAAGTTGCCTTCTACAGGACATATTCAATATCTCAATATGGTCTGGCCTAACAAACAAAGATATTACTTTTCAAATCTCACAAGGACGGAGTGTTTGCAAAAGAAGGCATAAAGTCATCCCAAGGTAGGCTGCGAGGTATGCAATGCTGAACGACTGTCCTTTGTTTCTATTTTACTTCCTCGACAGAATTCCCTTGTATCTTATTCTGGAAAGTGTAAAAGTAGAGTAATGATTAGAAAGATTGAATCAGCCTTACAATTAAAAGTTAGAGAGAAAAAAAATTAACCACTAAAAAGAAGGAGGTCAGGAACAAGTATAAAGAATAAAACTGGAGGACACGCAAGCAAATACATGCACTTACTTAGGGACTAATGTAATGAAGTGGACTCTCTTGGGGCAAACATTCATTTTACAATCTCAGATGATGCCCAAGATATTCCATCACTATTTCTATTTGTGCTCTTTCTACTGTGCTTTTAAAATCCTCGATTTGTCAAAAGTTACTTTTAGATCAATAAGAATTGGTTCACTTTTCAAAAAACATTAAAATAAAACTGCTAAAGCATTTGATATTTCCCCTTGTTTGGACCATCACAACTTACTAAATGTTGTCTTTTTGAATAAATGTAATTTGGGAGTACTGGCTGGCTTCTGAAAATGAACTATTTGGTTTGACCCAGAAGAACACATTTAACAGGAAAAAATAATTTAGATACGTGAATTAGGGCAAGTTTCCCTTTGAACCACGTGCTTTCTAGTTGTAAATTCCTGTTCTCCCAACTGGGAAGATTACACTATTACATTAGCAATATTTAGCAAATATTGCTAATCTTTCTATCATTCCATGGATATCATCTTTGATATGCTGCTTCTCTCTGTTCACGATTTCATATTGTTTCCCAATCTCCACAAGACCAGAAATTTCACAAAGTAATTAAAAATAGCATCATCTAGCTTTCAAATATTAGATTTTTACATTCTGATTTGTAGTTTAATTAGTCCTCGTTAGTTATTTTTCACAATGCTGTGAAAAAGCACAAAAGGAGTGACTGGATCCAAAGGAGATATGGCAGAGAAGTTATGGTGCTGTTTCTCATACTATGCTGGTGATGACACAAAGACAGACAAAACATGATTAGGACTACACTGAGCATAGGTAGCAGAGGTAAATGCTTTCAAGAAAGCAAAAGTAATTTAGGGGATTCTGTAACAGAAGGAAGCATAAGCCAGTTGAGTGAATATGAGGGGAGGAACTTTTGAGATGTGGGAAGGAGGAAAGATTAAAAGAAGTCTAAAAAGGAAGAAATATTAGAGCTGATTCAACTCTAAATTGGTATTAAAGTTGCCCAAAGGCTGAATTGAAAGTAGAAACTCTGAGAATGACATTTAGGCACAAGTATGATCCTGAAAGAAACACAGGACATGTTTCTAGGCATATACTTACTCATTAAAGGGCAAAAAAATCACTAGTTAAGAATTTTCAAATAACTATGAACAAAAGAGGGAAAACAGGATGCTCATATCATATCAGGTCATTGTGAAATATAAAGACAGATGTTATTTGGTATCACAAAATGAGGAAGATAGCCTTTAAGGTAGTTACAATGTTACAAGGTACTTGATACTCTGACCCCAGCTTAACAGAGCCTGTGAAAACATGCATAATTTTAACTGTGCCAACAGTCCTATTTACTTTAGTGGGGATATGCTCAAGCACTCTGCTGGATCAGAGCCAGTATCTGCAGCACTCTGTAATATCAAACCCAAAGAGAGAAAAATAATATGCAAGTACTTCATTAAATTTGCCACTTCATTAAATCTGCCTAACCACTTTGGAGATAACTTCAGAACAGAGTAACTCCAAGATCATTCCCATGTCACATTGCATAGGGCTATGTCAATAAAAGGCAATACTTTTCTGGACCCATTTAAAAGGTCCTGAAGAGGAAGCAATATATTTATTAATCAAATTAACTTAAATTGTAGAAGGTCTAGTTTTTTTTGAGGGTTTGTTTTTTGTTTTTTTTAACTATTCAAACACTATTCTCAACATTCAAAAGGGAAGGTTAAAAAAACAACCTTAACATTCCTAGCCGTCTAAAAACAGAAAAGAAAGTTAATTTTACCATTCTTTTAAAAATGCTGTTAAAATGTTTAAACTAGTGCAGGAGTCAAACAGCAACTTCACCGCCCCACCCAAATCTCCAAAGAAAAAAGCCTCCAGCAATTCAATACAATTATAAAAGAAAAAAAAAAAAAAAATCAAATCTTGTAAAAAAGGAGTCTCTACTTTGAGAAGTGACTTTTAAGACAGCACTTTCTTATTTAAGGACTCTACTCTTGGTGTGTACATTCAGTTACATCTGCAGATTTTAGATATCGCTATATATTTATTTTTGTGGCTAAGTGCCATGTCTTTATTTGTAAACAGAGACCATTTGATATAGCGATTGAGGCAATATGCATGGATCACCCCAGTGCCCTTTTAAAGGGTCTCTTTTTACATTCTTTGTAAAGAATGGGCTATAATACCGCCACCATTTTACCTCTTAGTTAATTAATAATAATTTAAAAAGAAAAAAAAGTGATGGTGAACTGTGTTATTTCAGGTTCACATCTCTAGTTCACATAGTCTGCTTATAAGATCAAGACAATGTGGTGGACAAGAAATGAAACAGGCGTTATGTACCAATATTTCTGAAACTTAAAAATATTTTTCTTAGTGCAGCTGACTGAAATTCCATTACAACTGGGCTCCTTGATAATATGTGGCTTGAAGCCAAAATGGTGACTGGGAGAAACTTAATCTTACCCGCAACGAAAACAAAAATGACAAAACTAGTTTTTGTAACAATATGCATGCAGTCAAATGCTATTAAGCTTTTAGTCATCACATGCTATCACTCAATGAACAATTACTGTTTTTTTCTGTTAACTGCTTCCTTTCAAACAGATTGTATTTAATTGACTGCTATGAGATTCACTGCCTTCCCATGAAGTCTAACCCTCTGAAATGTGACACAGCAGTAGAATACAGCTATTTATTTAAATCATAGGATCAATAAATTAATTGCTTTGCACTTGCTCTGCTTACTACATGTGGAGAAGTGACACACACTATTGTACAAGTCTGACTAGCTAATCTCTATTATTTGCATATCTTTGTGTACTAGAGGGGGGAGGGAGAAACTTAAGAAAAAAATTAAACTTACTTTTGGTTTGTGGATAAGCCTTCAGCTCCCTTTCACGTGCTTCTTCAGAAAAACGAAGCCGTTCATTATACCTATCTCTGCTTGACGTGACTAGTCCGTAAGCCTGGAAATAAACCACATACCTGCACTTATTTCCACATCTCTACTATTTACTAAATCATAAAACTTATACTTAAATTTATATTTAAACAAGTGCCCTTGCCTACCCTGAAAGGTCCCTTTTAGATTATTAAAGTCATTTCCAAATCTTGCTTTTACTGTTTACCATAAAATCTTTAAGTTTTGCATTTTCTTCTTCTTGGTAAGAAAAAATAACAACTGAATACCATACCACCTCATCAGGCAGTAAAAACTGTTCTAAGCCAAATACCTGAAGTATAAGAATGAAAAAAAAATGACAATAATAAAATTCTCTCTTTTGAATCACTCTCAGTGAGTTGATTCTATTTGCCTCGCAGGTGGATTTGTGGAGAGGGGTAGGAAAGCAAGCAGCACTTTGTGGTGCAGTAGAAACTGCCTCACAGTAAAGGAAACAAAACAGAAAGGGACAATTGGAACAGGGGAGGCCTGAAAATGTGACATGTGTAACAGTAGGGAGGAGACCAACTCTGGAGAAGTTGGAATAGAAAATGAACAATTCAGTGTGAGAAAGTTCTAAAACCTAGGCACTTCTCCAGATTGTTAAAGTACCGATTCCTGTGCCTCAGACAAGTATGTTCACAAGGAACAGCCTCTTAATTCTAAACCCAAACTTCAGATTGACTTGCCTTAACTTCAGATGGGCCTGGTCTTTTACCTGTTGTGTTATTAACCAAGAACACTAAAGGAGAAGGGTGATGGGAAGGGAAAAGGAAGACAGCTTTTTCTGTTTTTCCTCTCTCTCCTGCACATTATCTCATTTCTGCTCTGCTACAGAGGAAAGACGTACATTAAAAACCCCCTTTAAGAATCTTGAAGAGAAACATGCAGTTTTACTGATGTCATATACATTTTGGAAGACAGGGATTCCTCTAGATAAGACCCCTGCAAATTCAGTTAATCCAAAAATCCTTTCATTCCCCAGGGATGGAAGGCAAGGGGAACCCAACTAGATGTTCCTTTTCCATATTTCAGTCTCCATTTGATTACATGCTCACACATCAACAACATCTGGATGAGATGTAGTAAACTTCATACTGCATCTTGTATACTGTTATACTGTTCAGGGGAAGGGGCTAAATCATGATAGTCAGGCACTTACATAATATAAGCCACCAATGGAAGCAAGACCGGAAGCCACATAGAGAACGGAAGACCATCCAATAGAGCCAGAAGCAGTGCTGCCAGATGACATCTGGCGAAGAGGTGCTGTAAAAACCATTGAAATAAAGTGCTAATAAAGTATGATTATGTAATTTGAACTGTCATATTTTACTGATATGGAAATGATGAACAGGGTCATCAGGCAAGAGACGGATTCAGCATGGAGTATGATAGAGGAAGTTGGCTAGCTATGTGGGATATGCAGATAATCGCATTAGAATGTTTCACGTATGTGCTTTGTGAGCTGCCCTGGCTGGTCATCATTTTTCAGGTGGTGTTTTAAGTCTACATTGCCCTAAGGACATGCTTATATGAAAGAAGAACTCCCTCTCCCATGTGACTGCTATGGTTCTGAACAGCCAAGCTACTAGAGCCCCTCCAGTTTTAAAAGATACTGGCAGGGTATCCTCCGAGAGCGGTCCTTGCCTTTTGATTTCTGGCCCTAAACAACCTGGATTTGTTGATCCTTCAGGATATACTTGTACTGTCTGTTCTCTCAGGCATATGGAAGAAGGGAAATCGAGGAAAGGCAGGCATTGCACAGTTGTTCTCACTGATAGGAGGCCTATGTCGTTAAGAGACAGGGTAGCATTTATTTTTTGTCTAATGCTAGTTGTTTGCTGCTCACTCAGATTTAATGCTAACAGGAACTCTATTTTACATGACAAAGTTGGGGGGGGAAGGAGGAAAGACCCATCTATGCACATTTTTGGAACCAAATGATTTTTTAAAAATTATAATCCCAAATTAAAATTACCCTAAGAACATGTTCTTTCTGAAGGATCTTTCCTTAAGTATTAACAAGTTCTGCAGCACATTTATGATGAAACTGTTTAGGGCAGCAGTAACAGCTACAGCTTCTCAGCAATTTCACCATAAATTCAAAGTTTTTATCCAAATTTAAAAGTAGAATCAACAAAAGTTATCGCCCACAAAAATCCGTGCCTCTTGTACATTGTAGTTGTTTCAACAGCTGTAAACACAACCAATAGCTGTAAGAATCATCTCATTCTCCAGCTATTACCATCCTGTTATGTTGAGCAGCACTGGTCTCATGACATACTGCTCACACTCTTTGAAATAGAGGAACTCTGGTAGATGCTCCAACATCTGCATAAATATGGATGAAATACGGTTGCCTTGTTGAGTAAGCAAGGGTTCACACTTGAGTTTTAGTGCGGCTTGTGCATCACTTGTGTTAAACTGTCATCAGAACAGCAACAGTCAGTAGAATCTGAAGGTATTTGCAGTGATCATTGAGCTGTCTTTGACATTTCAGAGCATAAGCGACATGTTGGGGGGACAGACAGGTGGGGCACGTGCCCCACCTCAGATTGGCTGCTGCTGGCTTCTGCAGACAATCATCACTCGCTACCCACCTCCCCCCTTGTTGGCGACACAGCTGCCAACAGTTGCACGTGGTCTCCACTCACCACCCCCACCGACACCTGTGGGCGGTCCCCGCTCACCACCATGATGCCCTGCCCCGCCCCCCAGTCTCGGGATGCACCAGCTGTTCATGTTTCAGAGGATCACCTGAAAGGCCTTTAGATGGTACTAAATTTCTACTCTGAGGCTGTCCTGCCGCAGTTGGGAGAAGTTGCTCATTTTGAAAACTATGACCATAGAAACAGAGAATGCGAATCAGAGAAAATTCAGGTTGGAAGGGACCTCGGGAGGTCATCCAGGGCTAGGCCACCTCCTGCTCACAGCAACATCATCTCCAACGAGACCATTCCAGCCAAGGTATCGTCTACCCAGGTCTTAAAAACGCCCCAGGATGCACAGAGGCTGCACAAATCTGACCTTCTCCAGGGAGCACAGTCCGACTGAAAACAAGGAAGTGCCTACGTGCGCGCAGCTGCTCTGTGGGCAAACCGCACCTCAACCCTTGTGCTAACAGGCGAGGGGGGTGCAGCAGGAAAAATAACTGGCAAAGGTTGGAAGGAAGGGCCTGGGCGGTCTCCCACCTGGAGATGAAGCTCCAGAGCCTGAAGCTGCTCCGCTGGGGTGGTCCCGGCAGCAAAGGGCATATTCCGCCGTTCCCTGTTCCTCCTCCTCCCGCGCCACGACAATAAGGCGAGTCGCAGGGTGGCAGCAGGGCTGGGCTGTACCCACCTCCAAGCCCCGGGGCTCCCCCTGCCACCCCAACCGTGACCTTCACTTGCCCTGGGCCCGGCCGCCCCGCCAGAGCTCCTTACCGCGCGCGCGGAGGGCCACGGACGCGCGGAGGGCGGTGGGCGCCCGGGCCAGGCGGGCGGCCAGCATCTCCCGGGGGCTCTGCACGGACCCACGCGAAGGAAGGAAGGAAGACGGCGACAGCAGCGCGAAGCGAGCTGCAAGGTCGGCGGAACGGCGGCGACTGCGGGCAGCGGGGCAGGGCGGGGCCAAGGCCCCCAACCACCCAGCCAGCGAGCTTCGCAACGGCGTGGTTGCGTCACAGCGCCGCCCCCGCCACCTGCGTCACAGGGCGGGGCCGCGAGCGTGGGCGTGTATGTGTATGCATGTAGATGTACTCGGGTATATATGTTTGCGTATATGCGCGGGTGCATACATATATATATATACACACGCGTGTATATGTGCACGTTTATGCGCACATAGAGCTTGTGCACACATATGCATGCACATACATGTGTGTGCACGCAGACACGCACAGATGCAGATGACAGATATACACATATGCAGAATATACATATACACACATATATGTAGATGTAGGTTTATCTACACAGTGCAATCTATCTTACTGCCCTTTTGCCTTTCATTTCCTTTACAGCAACAGGAGCTGGGCTCTAGACCTCTTTCACTATTGCCTGTGCTATATATAACTGTTGGTTGGTCGGTCTACAAGGTGTAAATCTACCTCGCCTTCCACTTGCCTTCAGACTAACTTGGTTTCCTGTCTCACTACAAACACCTAGCCATTTGCCCTTCAATATACATGTAGGACAAGTGCAGTGAGCTGAATCTCACTTTTCCCTGAGCCTGAGAAAGGGTGCATATACCTGAAAGCGTGCAGAAAAAGATCATTTTTTTGGCGATTTCTTAGTTGGTCTAATAAAAGGTATAATCTCTGAATGAAGAGTTCTAGTTTTGCATTTTTTTGTCTTAGACCAACACAGCTACCAGCTACATCCCTGAAACTAGTCTCTAGGTACTTTTTACTATAATATACTCATAAAAGAGGGGAAGAGTAGCTCTGGACACAGACTTGCAAACCATACAAACATTGAGGGCTTTAAAGTAGGTTTAAAGGGAATGATAATAAGAGTCCAAATAACAATAATCTACTAGAATCCCAGTGGAAAATGGGACACTGCAACAAATGAAAACAACCAGGCAACCTGCTGAATATGAGATGTCAAAACTATGGGAAAGCTGAAAATCACAACTGAAATCATGATGCAACTCATACGAGACATGGTAGGATTTTGCTTCATCTGAATGCAGGCAGAAAAGAAAGAGGAAGGACAATGTCATGGGAGATGGAATATAGATTGTCATATTGAATGTAATAGTTTGAATGTTTGTAATAGTTGCCCGTTAGCCAGTTTAGGAAGAAGACAAGATTCATCTTCTTATCTAGGCCATTGTTTTGGCCTATGTGCGGAAGGTCCTGACTTTCCTCAAGTTCTTAACTCTTGAATTTTATTTTTAGAGGCCTTTAACAAACGTAACCTAAAAATGACCCTTAAGCAAACATCCCACATTCTGAGAGATCAAACCCTAGGGCCTTTGACAAGATTGGAAATAAAAGTCAATTCAGTGATATGGAAATTCCCCAAAGTAATTAAAATGGTCAAGAAAAGAAACTGATTACCAAGCAAAAGAATCTGTTAAGAAAGATCCAAGCCCAAATTTGGGAGTAGTGACAGGTTTGGGTAGGAGGGGCCCAAGATGGCAACTCACTCAATAAAAACTGTAACCTACTGTCCCAATTTGGAGGTAACCTCACTTGCAGAACAACGAAGGAAGAATCGCAAGTGTAGGTCGGATCAGACTGATCACCTGAACCACCCTCTCCGTGAACACGAACCTCTTAGTTCACGCTGAAGCTGCGGAGTGCCTGAAAGTGACTGAAGGAAGGGGACTTAGTCCTATCAGTATTGAGGCCAGCCCATTGAACCATATTGCTGAGGCGAGCCCATTGAACCATACTACTGAGGCCAACCCATTAAATTGTACTACTGAGGAATGAAACCATATTTAGGTGTTTGGCTTCTCGGAATTCTAGGATTGTAAGTATATTATGAAAAATAATAGTATTGATTCAAATTTAACTTTGAGTTGTTATTGTAATTGTTTTAAAGACGTGCATTTGGAGCATTGTTTCTGATATATGTAGTTATTGTGTTCTTAATGTTTGTGGTATTTCTTAAAGCTAAGCAGTGTTATATGCGTAGCAAAGAATTTTAAAATAAAATTGTGTTGTATGAATTAAGTGTGTAATCATTGTGAAATCATGCAAGTAGCTAAAATTCCCCCAGCCAGTGCATCAAACAAATCAGTAAGTTGTGTGGGATTTTCTCTATTCCATAACCCACTAGAGACAATAGATCACCAGTTGATGAAAGGTACTGGATGAGACCGAGTAGTCATAAGTGTCCATAGTAGGGGACCCGGTGGTAACAGAGGACTTAGATCATCTGTCAGGGGAAAACAAACCAGAACAACACACTACCACACACACAGTAGGTCAAAGATATGGAATGTGTTTGGGACAATTTGTTGTTTTCAAAAGGTGGAGAAAGTTACTAAGAGAGCAGCTGTTTTAAATTTGGTTCTGACAATAAGGAGGAACTGACTAAAAATCCACAGGTGGAAGGTAATTATAGCAAAAGCTATCATGAAACGATCAGAGTTCACTGCTTTTATGGAAAAGCAAGTGTATGGGGAAGGGGAAATCAAGGAGAGCAGCAGAAAAAAAAATGAACTTGCGAAAAGCAGACTTTAAACTCAGGAAATTGGAAAGATCATCCCACAGATTAAGGAGTGCAGAGGAACTGGCAGTTACTGAAAAAGACTATATTAAAATGGCACAACAGCAACCTAGCTCTATGTGAAAGTAAATCAGGAAGCATAGCAAGAGACTGTTAGGGCTGCATCACAAGCTCTTCAATGGACCTAAAAATTTAAAAAGGAATTGAAATGGAAACATACAAGTATAAAGGATAAAAACCTGAAATGCCAAGGCACAAAATGAATTCCAAGTAGCAAAGAACATAAGAGGCAGCAACAAGAGGGGAGGGTACATTAGAAGAGGAAGATACCAAAATGTGTGCTAAAAAGAAAAGGAGAGGGAACAACAGATGATGCAGAGAAGGCTGTAGTACTCTATGCCTTTTTTGCTTCAGTCTTAACTTAAAAAGCTAAGTTGTGACCAGCTACTAAAACTGATTTAACAAGGAGATGAAAATGTAGGCCAAAGTACAAAAAGAACAGGTTAAAGAGGTAAAAGGTTAAAGAGTATTTAGAGGAGATGCATGTTTAAGTCAGCAAAGGCCAAATGAAATTCAGGCTAGAGTACATCAACCACTCCCTTAAGAAAAACCACTGAACCCTTAGCAATAACTTTTGCAATATTTCTTCCAAGACATTTAACAGAAATTAGCCATGAGGCCATTAATGCGTGCAGACCAAATCAGAAAGTGTACCAAACTAACTTGAACTTCAGTGTACTTTGATGAGTATAGGTTTTAGCCATATTGGTCTAAGGACATAGGCAGACAAGGTTCTTTGGGTAAATCCAAGACCTTTTATTAAACCAACTAATTATTAGAAAGAACCTTGTCTGCCTAGCGTACTTTGAAACAGTTCATGCAAACTGGGCCTTATCACGATTTCCACATAGACTGGATACTGTGCTAAATGCTAAAAAGATTCTGAAATAATTCTGTAATGACAGGAGTGTTCTGGAGTAAGAGTAGGTTTATCTGAAATAGCGATTTTACCAAAAGTCACTTTTGTTCTGTAAAAACCTATCTACAGGAAAGTAATTTCAGAAAGGCTAACATAAAAATAAGTAATACCAGTAGTAATAGCAAAACAGCTAAGCTGGTGAATTTCCCCCATTTAGGCAAGGCCTTAGTACAAACAAAGAAGTCAACCCTTTTATGTTAAAACCTGCCAATTAATAAGGGAGGGGAAAGGTCAAAGATTTGTTAGCTATGACAATGCACAGCTAGCTGAAAATGAGGGTCAGAATTCTGCAGTCCTCTCCTTTTTCCTACTATAAAGTGAATGACTGCAGAAAGGATGGATCTCAAAGCAGAATGAAAAGTGACAGGCAGAATGAGAGGATAGTGAAAATTCAATTCCAGGAAACCCATCTAACTTTGAAGCTGCACCCTGGCTGTTGGGATTCCAGAGGTTTCTCTCATCCATCTTTTCACAAGTTTGAAATACTAAAAAGAGTTATGCTGGAATACAAAAATTAGAGGCACTACCTCTGGTTGTACAACCTCAGCATTTTATTATTGAGATAATTTGGAAGAATCGTACTGTAGAAGCTTCTGTCTGATTACAAGTTTTATCTCTTTATCTGTGCATCTTCTAGAACAGCTACAAATCCTACAAGCCAAACTGCACTTGTAGATATACATAAGAGCATACTGACTTGCCTGGATGCTCCATACACCCAACTTTAGAGATAAAATTAGATTTGAAGCTAATGTAGCTCTCTTTGCATTATTAACTTTTGCTTGTAAGAGCTTTGTGTTGGCTGGAAGCATTGATTCAGGATGAAAGCTAAGTCAGTCTCCAAAATATTAAAATAAAGTTATCACAGGTTTTACTTTCGACACAGGATTGTGCTTTTGCAAGTCTCAAAAGAACCATTCTATCACAGAGGATAAAGATTGCATATCAGAGGAACTAGCAACTGTAGGTGTACAAAAATTAACTATTACACTGAAGGCCAGATTTTAGCCTACTTCTAAGAGGCTAAAATTAACCTTTATTCCTACTTCGTAATTCACAAAAGGGACACCACACACCATTTATGGAACTTGTCTATCATTGCCCACCCTGCTACCAAAAAACCCCCCAAACATATCTGCCAAACCAAATCAGTGGCTGAGGCGGCCTCAAAATCCACTGTGCACCTTTCAACTGAAGGTCTCAAGCAAATTTTTCCAAGTAAAATTAACCCCAAAAATGTCTTGCAGAGCAGATAATGTTAGAGAAGTATTTTAGGAGCTACTTCAAGTTTAACTACAAATATATAACATGAATAGCAACAGCTCTAGAAGAGACAACCTAAAGACTAGGTGGTATCTCAAATAAGGCTTATACTTATTTTAATAACTCTTTTGTGCATTTCTGGCTTTTCAGATTGAAAAATAAAATCACGTTTTAGCATTTTAAATAGATTACAACTTTTATCATAGATTGCTTTCAAGAAGGACTTTACATTGACATAAACCTATGGTTTATTCTGTAAGGTTAGTGAGAAAGACAACTAGGGGGAGAACAGTGTATTAATTCAATATACTAGTCTGGGGAACATTGTAATACAATCATTTTGTTTTGTTTAATTTTTAATATAACTTCGTTATTCTGGAAGGTAGTTTAAATAAAAAAAAACAGCTTATTAAAACAAACAAACAAAAAAACCCCCAAACTATAACAGTAGCCTTGATTCTATTCAAGGTTAATTAGTTGAAGGAAACCTTTCCGCAGATCTTCAGAATAAAATAATCTGGCAAGAAAGCACATTTGACAAACATCCTTCAAATGTTACCATTTATTTTACAGTTCTGCACATAAAATGAGTGGACTGGTAAAGACACGGTTATCTGGATATTTTATTTTTTTACAGTTATTCATTGTCTTGTTGACTATAACCACTGCTAAATCCTGAAGCATATCTTCAATCTAGAGGGAAGAAGAACACATGTAATATTAACAAGACATTAAATAACTGCGATGAAATATTTTTAAATGTGTTTATAGTAAAAGAGTGGCCATAAGGTTACAGGATTTTTTTTTCCCCACAAAGTGCTTTTGTAAAGCTACATATAAACCAGTATAAACCCATAAGTTAAATGTTTTGCATTAGCTTTAAAAATTTTCAAGTTTAACATGCAGAAGATACGGGAAAATTACCACATCTGATGGCCCTATAAGGTATATCAAGTCCATACACACTGATTTAGCTTCAGTATTATCTATGTCAGACCTCCTTATCTATTGGCAGATCTCCTACGTAGAGCTTTAAACTAGCTTCGTTGGAGGATGGGGTTGCCAGGGTCAGGACGAGATCGGGTAGGACAAGCCACGAACTCCACGCTGGAAATGACCAGGTAAGTACTAAGAGGCGCACTAAAAATCACGATAGGGGAATACTAAGAGCACCTATCAGGGGGCTTAGGTGTCTCTATACTAATGCTAGAAGTGTGGGATACAAGCAGGAGGAACTTGCACTCTTGCTTGCAAACAAAGACCTCGACCTGGTTGGTCTAATAGAAACCTGGTGGGACCCTACCCATGACTGGGCAGTGGGCATTGAAGGCTACAGGTTATACAGGCAGGATAGACTGGGGAAGGGGTGGGGGGGCGGGCATTGCTCCATACGTTAGGGAACAACATACGTCCTCTGTAATAGAAGATGGGGACAGAGGACGGGCAAATCGTAATCTGACCTGTAGGTGTGAAAGGGGGTAGGGGTGAAAGGGACTTAGTAGTGGGGGGTCTACTACAGACCCACACACCAGAGGGAAAAGTTAGACCTAGAGTTCTCAAAACAGCTCAAGGGCAGCATGCTCAAAAGACCTAGTTGTCATAGGTGACCCAAATTACCCGGACATCTGCTGGGAGGAGCAATCGGCCAGGTCTGCCCATTCACGTAGGTTCTTAACCTGCATACAGGACCTGCATCTAACATGAGAAGTACGCAGTCCCACTAGGGAAGATGCCTTACTTGACTTGGTGCTGGCCTCAGGGGAGGACTTGGTAGGGGAGCTACAAGTACAAGGTAATCTAAGGGATAATGACCACCAGTTGATAGGATTCATTATCCAGCGTAAGGTGGGAAAGACAAATAGTAGGGCATTAGTTGGCCTTCCAGAAGTCTAGCACTTCAACCAGCTCAGGAGATTGGTTAGGGTGGGTCTGGGGGTAATCACATCTGTGAGATGGGGGTCCAAGAAGGGTGGGAGTTCCTCAAGGGACTGATCCTACAGGCACAGAGGGACACCATCCCAGTACACACAAAGGGTGGCAAAAGAGCTAAACAACCTTCTTGGCTGAGCAGGGAAATCCAGGGGAGCCTTCAGAGGAAAAAAGAGGCCTGCAGGCTGTGGAAGCAGCCACAGGAAGAGTATACCTACTTGGCTCACGCTTGTAGGGAAGCAGTGAGAAAGGCCAACGAAGATACAGAACTCAAGTTGGCAAAAAGGATAAAGGATAACAACAAGTCCTTCTTTAAGTACACAGGGAGCAGGAAGAAGGCGCAGGGTAACATAGGGCCACTACAGAAGGGATTAGGGCAACTCATAAGTGACAGGATGGAAAAAGCAGAGCTCTTAAATAATTTCTTTGCTTCTGTTTTCCTGGACACAGATACAAGTGCACCTCCCAATGAGTCTATAGTCTGGAGTGAGAGTTGTACCAATCCACCAGTGGTTAGCACTGACCTAGTGAAGGGGCACTTGCAAGGGCTGGACGTATTTAAGTTGGCAGGCCCTGACAATCTTCACCCAAGGGTACTAAAGAAATTGGCTAATGACATAGCAGAGCCACTGGCGCAGCTGTTTGAGCGCTCGTGGCACTTGGGACAGGTCCCAGAGGACTGGAAAAGGGCCATGATCCCTATCTTCAAGGGGAGAAAGGAGGACCCAGGTAATTATAGGCCAGTTAGCCTCACCTCTATTCTCGGCAAGACCTTAGAAAAAACCATTAAGGATCACATTTGCAGGGGGCCAGCGGGTAGCACAACGGTGAGGGGCAACCAGCATGGGTTTATAGCAGGCAGATCCTGCCCGACTAACCTGGTCTCTTTTTATAACCAGGCCACAAAGTGCTTAGATGCAGGGGAGGAAGTAGATACTATTTACCTAGATTTTAAAAAGGCTTTTGACACGGTGTCACACCCAATTCTTACACACAAACTGAGTAGCTGTGATGTTGATTCTTTAACAGTAAGGTGGGTGAGTAACTGGCTTATGGGATACACCCAGAGTGTGGTGGTGGATTGGGCGGTTTCTCCCTGGAGGGATGTGAGCACTGGTGTCCCCCAAGGTTCTGTCCTTGGACCAGTACTGTTTAATTTCTTCATCAGCGATTTGGATGAAGGTGTTGAAAGCACCTTGTCCAAATTCGGAAATGACACTAAACTATGGGGCATAATAAACACAATAAAAAACAGGGAGTGAATTCAGGCAGATTTGGACAGACTGGGGACGTGGGCGGATCAGAAAAGGATGCAATTCAATGAGGGTAAATGCAACGTGTTGCACCTGGAAAGAAAGAATCTCCAACACACCTACAGACCGGGGTGGGGTGGGGGTGGGGGGGGGTGGTGTACCATTCTTAGTACCACAACAGTGAAAAGGGATCTCGGAGTCCTGGTTGATGCAAAAATGAACATGAATCACCAGTGTGACGAGGTAATATGCAAGGCTAACTGCACTCTTTCTTGCATCAGCAGGTGCATCACAAGCAGGTCTAGGGAAGTGATAATTCCCCTCTATGTGGCATTGGTAAGGCCACAGATGGAGTACTGCGTCCAGTTTTAGGCGCCACACTTCAAGAGGGATGTGGATAACCTTGAGAGGGCTCAGAGAAGGGCTACTCATACGGTTGAGGGCCTGCAGGTAAGACCCTATATGAAGACAGAGATCTGAATCTCTTCAGCCTCCAAAAGAGAAGGCTGAGGCGCGATCTTGTGGCTGCCTACAAACTCATCAAGCCCAGCAGGGAATAGGGGACACTGTGTTTACCAGGGCACCCCTCGGGGTTACCAGAAATAATGGCTACAAACTGAAGGAGAACAGATTTAGATTGGACATAAGGAAGAAATTCTTTATGGTAAGAGTTGCCAAAATATGAAATGAGCTTCCAAGGGAGGTGGTGCTTTCCCCTACCCTGGAGGTGTTCAAGAGGAGATTAGACAGGCATGAATTGGGTGTGATAAGCGAACTGACACACCAAGGGCGCACTGCAGAGTAGGAGTTTTGAAGAGATGGGAGCCCAGGAAGGGTGGCTGTGCCTTAAAGAAATGATCCTTCAGGCACAGAGGGAGACAATCCCGATGCGAGGAAAAAGAGGGAAAGGGGCCAGAAAGCTTCCCTGGCTGACCAGAGAAATCCAGAGCAGCCTAC